TATGGTCACTTCCTGTTCACTGGTTGCATAAAACAAGATGGCGACGGTCACAATGCTGAACTCAAGGCTTCAAAACCAAAGAGAGACGTCACGATGACTACGTCCACTTCTTATAGACAGTTAGTGGACACAAATACAGCCTGAAAGAGCTTCAACCCTCCAGGAGCTGACAAATCGTTCTCATTCTGTTGTTGTTAAAAATCTGTTGAGGATCAGACTTCACTAAAACCTCTCAGTGCTGTGAGTAAACACACACAGGTTGCATTGGAGACAAACCGCCGTAGAAACTGAAGAAAAGGTTGATGAATGTAAGAAAAGAATGATGTGCAGTTGTGTAAGTACACCTGTGATACACCTGGATGCATCACAGGGGGTCAAGTGAAGCCAGAGGGGCAGTGGGGGGGGGGGGGGGGTTCCCTATCCCTGCAGCTTTTTTGAAGAGGGGGGGGGGACTGCGGGGGGAGGGGGGGAGGCACCGCTGGACCCCTACACTACACAGCATGTCGAGCAGTATCTTTCTATTAGGACCTTCCATGTTAACACACACACACACACACACACACACACACACACACACCAGAGAGAACATGAGCCAGCTGTTATTCATTTTCATGCATTTAGACAAAAACATTCTCCTCTTAGCACCGATGAGTGAGGAGGACCATCTGATCAGGAACATATACTCCATGCATCTCTCCCTACAGCTCGCATCACGAGTCAGTGATGTTATGTGTGACGTGAATCACACCGACATGCTTCTCCTCCGTCGCTCTGCAGAGAGTTAATGTGTGAAGAGAGACACTTCTGAACGTCACACCATCAAACGGTCATTATGCAGAAAACACACACAAATAAAAACACACATTTGCAATCTCACACAACACAAACAAAAGTAATAAATTCTACTTTTGTGATTGTGAAATGAATTGTTTTCTAATCACTGACACTGTGTAAGGTAACTTATTATGTTTGCTGAATACTCTGGTGTAGAGAAGTGAAGACGGGAGTAGAGAGGGAGCTCTGGTTTATCTTCAACACACGTTTTCATCCTCTTTCTTCTTTCATTTATTTTATGTTGCTTGTAAAGAGTAAAAGCTTCTCAAAGACACGGTGAATCTAACGTGCTGCTTCCACCAAAGACTTCTGGCTTTACTCTTCACTGATTGGTTCCAGAAACTTTGATCTCACTGGCTATGAAAAACAGAAGGAGGGGCTTATTTCTGCTGTTTTTGACTGCTTTCAGCTCTAAGTAGAGCTGTGTAAAGAGCGGCGTGTTGTCGGTCAGAAACGACACTGAATTGGGTGAAAATAGAGACGTTTAATGTCAGCGGCACGACGAGGAGCCGAGCTTCAGTTCTGCACTCTATGGTGACCTCAAGTCTGGAGAACTGGACCAAACCAATTCCCCCGTGGGGGACAATGAAGCTGATTTGAATCTGAACAAACCACTGAAACGGTGGAACAAACGTAATAAAGTTCAAACTGGCCTGTTGGTTTAAACATCTTCAGCTCCTTAAACTCATCATGTTTGCCTCCTCTTGCTCATCCTCTAGATCCCTCCTCGCCTCCTCGTCTCCTCAGTTTAAAGTTCTCTCTCTCTCTCTCTCTCTCCCTCTCTCTCTCTCTCTCTCCCTCCCTCTCTCTCTCTCCCTCCCTCTCTCTCACCTTTGCTGGTGCGAGCAGCGATGAGTCCAGGTGTCTCTCCCAGGTCGTTGTGGATCTCCACGTCGGCCCCGAACACAATCAGAGCTTTGATCAGCTCCATGTGGTCCATCTGAAGAACAGACGGCCACATAAACAAATGAAATGTTTCTACAGCAAAACCACAACACAAAGGAAAAATAAAACTTCAGATACTCTTCAAGATGAAGACAAATCTGTGGCATTCAGTATATTCAAAAAAATATAAATTTAAATTCTGAAGTAGTCGAAAAAAAAAAATACTTTTAGGGGGCGGAGCCTATACTCATAGAACACGTAACTAACGTTCCTCCAGAAGCCCCGAGAGATGAGGGAGAAAGAAAGCTGGTGATCTGTGTTCTAAGTCCGATCTAAAAGGTTGAAGGTTGCGTCAGGTGAACGTTTCTTCCTCTTGCTCAGCGTCATATTGTTTGTTGTTGTAATGCTCATGTTGGCCACATGAGGCTGAAGTGCACCACTGCACCGTGTGCTAATTACAACTACAAGATGTTTTAATTCTCAATGCTCTCTAATCACACGGCACATCGTATGTTAGCACGTTATGTAAATTAAAACTCACCTGGAAGAAGACATGAAGCTTTTAGACCCGTTTAGAACACGGTGTAGTGGTGCTCTTCAGCCCCATGTGGCCAACATGAGTATTACAACTAAACATTAAGGAAACTATTTTCCACCTGATTCACAGAAGAAAACAAAATTAAGGAACTTAAACCTTTTTGCATCTGTTCTCAAGTAATAAACACGGGAGAGAAGATCACTCTTTTATTCCTCACTGGTGTCCCAGGGCTTCTGTAGAGTCCGCACCTTTGATTAGAATAAAAACAAACGAGAACATGTACGTCACCTTCATGGCGAGGTGCAGGGCTGTGTTTCCGTCCTGGCCCTTGAGGTTGGCGTTGGCCCCGTGGGTCAGCAGCACCATGGCCGCCTCAAAGCGCCCCCTCCTGGTTAGAATGTGGAGGGCGCTCTCTCCGGTCTTACTGAGGTAGTTCACCGCACAGCCGCGTTCCAGCAGCAGGAGACACATCTGGCAGAGAGGAGAGAGGACCAGAGCATTAAGGCATACCTTTCCTCTGGTAGGAAGCGTCTGTTGTCGGTATTTAAACGGCTCATTGTTGATTTGTGACGCAACATTTTTCACCTCAGCAGTTTTGGACCAGTGGAGAGGCGTTCCTCCGTACAAAGAGTCCTCGGCCTGGAGCTGACCCGGGTCTGCTTTGAGGATCTCCTCCACACAGCTGACGGTCAAACACAAAATAAAAGAGGAATGTTATGTACCATCCTAAATATTAACTGAAGAACATCCTCCAATCTGTCCACGGTGGACCGGTCTCTGCCAGAGGATCTGGGTCTGTCCACGGTGGACCGGTCTCTGCCAGAGGATCTGGGTCTGTCCACGGTGGACCGGTCTCTTCTGGACGATCTGGGTCTGTCCACGGTGGACCGGTCTCTTCTGGACGATCTGGGTCTGTCCACGGTGGACCGGTCTCTGCTGGAGTCTGAGCTGAAGGAGTTTCTGGTGAACCTGCATGAGTTCATCTGGTTTCACCAGAATCTGACCAATACATACATCTCATATAACGGGCGTAGAGGTCTATTGGTGAAGAAGACCAAATGCTCTTTAGTGTCATTGAGGGAAACACAGACATCCTCCAGCTCCAGGGACACGGTTCTGTAACTTTGGACACTTCATCAGAGTCGAGCAGAGTCCTGGACTCACTACAAACCTCCAGAAACCATTTAAAAAGAGACAGCTGCTCATCATCGTCCTCACGTTTAACCCTACTCACCCCTTCTCACTGTACTTCATGGCGCTGTGGATGGCATAGCCGGTGCCACCGACGACGTCGCACTTGGCCCCGCCCCCCAACAGAGCTTTGACGGACTCCACGCGTCCCAGGCGGCACGCCACGTGGAGCGGCGTCTCGCCGTTGTTGTTCAGCTCGTTCACCCCCGAACACAACCGCGAGCACATGACCTGAGAGAGAGAGAGAGAGAGAGAAACAGAGAGACAGAGAGAGAGACAGAGACGGAGAGAGACAGACAGAGAGAGAGACAGACAGAGAGACAGACAGAGAGACAGACAGAGAGAGAGAGACAGAGACAGAGAGAGAGAGACAGAGAGAGAGAGACAGAGAGAGAGAGAGAGAGAGAGAGAGACAGAGACGGAGAGAGACAGACAGAGAGAGAGACAGAGAGACTCAAATGGTTGGTGGCTTCAACTTAATGCAAATTAGGTCCGCCATCGTTACTGCATTGCATATTTCTCGCCTCAAATGTTTTCAGAAATACATTTTTAATGTACCGTTTAGCTGTTGGAAGGGTTTTGCAAACAAGCCAAGGTGGCGACGGTGATATCGCCGAACGTCGGGCTTTGAAACATCAGAGCACACACCAATGGGCGACATTCACGACGACCACTTCCTACAGTCTGTGGTCTCACCTGGATGATGGCCGGCGTGTCCTGCTTGGCGGCACAGTGCATGGGAGTCTCCCCGAGCCGGTCTCTGATGTCGGTGCGAGCCTGGCTTTCCTCCAGCAGCTGCCTCACGCACGCCAGGTCACCGCGCTCACATGCCAGGTGCAGCGGCGTCTGACCGGAGGCGTCCCGAGCGTTGATCTGACTGGAGACGGAGAGACGTGGCGTGTTACATAAGTATCTTCCTGGATATCTTTCTCCTGATAATAATTCTTCTTACCTCTGGACATAGTTATGTTTGAGGCACTCTCTCAGGCCCGTCTCCACCGCGATGTGGGCGGAGCTCCAGTCCTGGTGGTTGCGGATGCAGTCGACGATCGGCTGGGCGGTCTCGGCCTTCAGGGGAAGCGTCTCGTAGAAGGGGCGGAGCTTGAGGGCGTATTGGGGGAACCAGTTCATGGCGTCCTCCTCCGACGCCACCTGGAACATCCTGGTTCACAGAGCACAGATTACACCGTCACATGTCATTAAATTTACTTTTTGTATTTACTGTAAATGAGCAAAGACTAATTTTCCAACACTTACATCCACGATACAAATGTCTGCAGATATTAAGAGAGCTTTGACACTTCTCACAATATTACATATTCAATGTTATTTGTGGAAAAACCTTTTGCTTCCAGACGTCTGGTGTTAAGTTGCATGGATCATAATGTTTGATCAGAGTAAAGCTCACAGGCTGTCTGTGAGAAGTGGACGTAGTCGTCATACCGTCTCTCGTTGGTTTGTGGATGTTTTGAATCCTCTAGTTCAGCATTTCACCATCGCCATGTTGTTGTTTTTTGCAACCAGTAAACAGGAAGTGACCATATGTGGACTGAGGAGGAGTGACGTAGAGACGCCGTATACGTCTCTGGTAGAGACCTGTCAATCACCGTGTAGCCCCGCCCTAAAGCATCCCCTGCTTTATGGTCTGTTTGACTCTAAATGGACCATCATGTACTAACACAACATGCCGACGGCGAAATCACCGAACACGAGGCTTCAAAACGTCCACAAACCAACGAGTTACTTCACCATGACTACGTCCACTTCATGATGACATCAGTACTGACCTCAGGGTCACGTTCGGCGTCTCGGGGCACATGAGCAGACAGTCCCACGACTGGTACTGGGTGTTCCTGTACAGGACCATGCGTCCCTCCTCCTTCAGCAGGACTTTGCCTCCACCGCCGTAGTCGGACAGCGGCACGTCCCTCACCCGGTACGGGTTGGTGAAGAGGGTCGACACCGAGGACACGGTGTCCAGCAGCCGGCCCAGGAACTGCATCGTCGCCTGAGAACAAAGAGCAGAAATGGCCTGTTTCGCCTCATGTGAACTTTTAGTTTTTCTACGCTAATACTTTTGTAGGTTTTAAACGAAGGACTTTTACCCAAAACAAGAGTATTTTTTACTCTGTAGTACTGATAATACTTCAATAAAGATGTGAATACTCCTTCCACCGCTGTAACACACAGTCTCTACGCAGCGTTGCCAGTTTCAGCTGAGCGTGTTTTACAGGTTTACATGGGTCACTTGATTTGGTTTATTTATTAAATTGGTTTCTCGTTTTTAATGTTACTGAACTGGAAGCAGGATGAACTTCCATCAGGACCAAGACCTCACAACACAAATGCAGTTTCTTGTTTATTTTTAAAACACGCCCAATAAAATCAAAACCGTGTAAATCTATAACACATCCTACAGGGTGAGGAGGTTCTGCCTCTACCTGATGTAAGAGGAGGTTTGATCTCTGCTCTCCGGATCACAGCTGATCACAGGGTTGTTGTTGTTGTTGTTGACGACCTGCCTGAGGAGAGAAGGCTCACAGAATCAGTCATCCGTTTTTAAAATCACTTCTTAAAAACACTTCTTTTTCAGACTGGCTTTAATGTGATGTCGTCACTTTTCTGTTTTAATTGTATTTGTTGATTTTACTAAATTATTTTATTTCTCAGTTTATTTTTAACGTATCGAGCTTTCTTGTTGTTATTGCTTTTGCTGCTTGTGTCTGTCAATCCACGTGGTGAACTGTTTTTAAAAGGTGGTATATATAAATAAAGTTATTGTTATTATTAACATTTATGAATGAATTATTCGACAACAGGAGCTGCTGCCTCTCAAGAGCAGCATCCGTCACATCGCAGCGGGGTGATGCACTAACGTAACGCTGACGTGACCGTCGTGAAGAGTAAACTCTCGGGTTTCCTGTAACACACCGCTGTAGTGACGGTGCAAACCGGGGCTGGTCCTCGTTATAACGTTAACATATATAATATAGATATAATAGATATAATAGCTAGCAGGTTAAGAGACGCTAATCGCGTTAGCTCGTTCTTACCTGCTGGTTTTTTCTTCCTCTGCGTCGCTTCATTGACTTCTGACGGCGACATCAACAACCACGAGACAGCGTAACCAAACCTGCTACTAATCGTGATTGGCGCGAAGTTGCTCCAATCAGAGCTCGAGGAGCAGACGTGTGCATGATGAAAGGGGCGGGGCGTAATATATAGGAGACGCTCTGTTTATATTTTTTTAACACACATGGGAGAAGTTTGCCTTCAGCCTTTCTGCCATAAATCCTCTGAGTTAGGTTTAGAATTGTATTATTAATAATTGTATTATTAATACAATTAATATTAAAATATAATAATAGAATAATAATAATAATTGTATTATTATTGTATTTTTTCACACTGGAAAGTGTGGAAAACGTCAATGTGATGAAAAATAAAAGGCCTTAAAGTCATTTAAAAAAATGTCTAAAAATCCCACTAGTTGATAAATTAATCATAATATAAGTGAACACAATAAAAAATAGGTACAAATCTAATAAATAGAACATAAATTGATAAATAAATACACTTTACAGACAGCTAGTTGAATAAATACAATAGGAATGATTAAATGTTATTCATGCCCTCAGTGTTATTTAAAATGATGTTTTCATCTTGTTGTCATCTTGTCATGTTTAAAGCACTTTGAATCACAGTTGATTTGTTTGAAAGCTGTTATATCAATTAAACTTGATTTATTGATTGATTGAATATATATTGATTGCTATATAATAGCATAGCCACATATAGTATATATGATAGTATATATAATATATATAATATATGATAGTATATGTAATATATATGATATATATATAATATATAATAGTGTATCAAAAATATATATATATATATATATATATATATATATGATACACTATTATATATTATATATATATTCATAAATAATATAAAATAGCATTAATACATATTGTAAACTCGATGGTTGGTGTGACGCTGCTTGTAATCAATCAGAGAAGAGATGACGAGCTCTTTCGCGGTTCTTTTGCATCCCCATGAGAGTCTTCATCGTTGCCAGGACGACCAAAAGGGGGCTGACCCGGCCACGTGACAGATAGCCGTCTGTGTGTGTGTGTGACAGACGGACAGAGAGAGAGAGGGGGGAGAGAGAGGGACAGAGAGAGAGAGAGAGAGAGAGGGGGGAGAGAGAGGGAGACAGAGACTCACACACAGAGAGAGAGAGAGAGAGGGACAGAGAGAGAGAGAGAGAGACAGAGACAGAGAGAGAGTCTGCTCATTAAAGTAAAGATGGAGCTCTCCTCGACGGGAGATCGTGTTTTCGCGGCTGAAGCTATACTGAAACGCCGCGTCCGTAAGGTGAGCTTGCACGCACCGTCCTTCGGTCCGCAGCCGCGTGCATTTTTTTGATTACCCCGTAGATTAGCACGGCACGGCACGGCTCCAGTCTGTTATGGAGGCCTTTACTTCGCTAGCCGGAGCTAGCTAGAAGCTAACTAGCTCGGTCATGTCGATAAAAAAAACAAGCAAACATCCACACAACGAACAAGGCGGCCCGGCCGATGAGACGATGAGGGCCGGGCTATTGGGCTAGCTAGCTAGCTTTAGCTAATGTAGCTAAAGCCAACAGTAAAAAGGCTGTTTTCTGCTGCAGGTTGCGGATATAAAATATAGTCCCCATAACATAGTCATCATTGCATTTATTTACTGCTACATGAGCCACAGATGATGAAGGACTTCTCATAGTTTATCAGTACAGGATCAGACCCCTATACATCATGGTGGGTTTACCATCTGACGAGACTGGTCCCAGTTTAACCAGCAGGTCCTCCAGCTGCTAGAACCTCATAGTTCAGATCTATACCAGTCTACTATAGTAGAAGTAGTCCAGGCTGTTTGCGACACAAGCAGGATATTTAGGGTTTAAGCTGTAGCTCCTTGCACAGATGATGCTGTTGTAGGATGTAAACATCGTGTGGTGGAGCTTCTATGCAAAGGACTTGAAGTTCAAATAGGACACTTGTCTCTTTTTGTCTGTTTTTATTAATCCACCATGTGTGGTTTTCTTTGTTTTTCCTGCAGGCAAGACTTGAATACCTGGTAAAATGGAAAGGATGGGCCATGAAGTAAGTGCTTCTCTTGACTTAGACTCCAATGGGAATGATCAACCCTCAGTTGTCCTTTCCTAAAGTGAGCTATTTGTTTCCTTGTTGCCTCACGTTGCTCCGCTCTTCATGTTTTTTAGGCACAGCACTTGGGAGCCAGAGGAGAATATTCTGGACGACAGGCTGATCCTGGGCTTTGAGAGAAAGTGAGTTATTTGTACTTTCTTATTTACTACTGTGCCACATTACAACAATCACAACCTGTGGTTTAAAAAGAGCCCACCGACGCCCCGCTCTACACGAAGACAAACACCTCTTCCTCTCGTCACAGCTGATCATCGTCGGATTAATAACAGTAGATCCAAAAGAGACGTTTTCAGAATACTATTCCTAATCCAACACGAGTAAAGCCAGAACATAATGTACATACATCGTCTGCTCGGCTTCAGGTCTTTGGCTCCTAACTTTAACATGTTTCTCTATTTTGTTTATTTCAGTTCTTTTATGCCTTTACTCTACGTCTCCTCCATGTGTTTATAAGTGTCTTTCCTTTTTATTCTCTACAGGGAGCGGGACAGGGAAATGCACGGGCCGAAGAAACGCGGACCAAAACCCAAAAACCTAGCGGCGAAGGTACAGTTTGTAATGTGCATCTCTTGATTTTAACTTCTCAATCTTAAGAGGTATTTCATGGACGCTGCAACACTTTAGCAACGGATGAAAACCCTTCCAGTGTCCTCTCACATGACCCTAACATTTACACCAAAGATATTTATTTATCATTTAGTAAGTCATAGTATTCCAGTTATTGTAGACTTTATTAGTTGATAGATTCCTTCTTCTTGGCTCCGGTAGCAGCACGTTAAAGGAGAGGAAGATGTTAAAGCTCCAACAACAACGTGATTCGATGTTCATATTTTAACCACAGATGTTTACGGGGTTCATAAAACATCATTTTAAGCAGAGTTATGTCACTGATCGTCGCTTAGTGTCAGTATCTAACCTTATAGGACCAGAACAATCCTCCATCAAACAAGGGCGTACATGTCGGGCCACACGCCAGCTTTGTCATTAATGTTAGTTCAGATATACTGTGGGGAATGTTGACTTGTTTTGTTATTCTTTGTCTTTTATGTAAGCACAGACCTGTCAGAAAATATATATTCTAAGAGCCAATTCATTTATATTTTGTAAAATTCATGTTGGCATTACATCACTTTTATTTGTTTTAGTATGACTATATGTAAATATGTTGGCATTTTCTTGCCATTAAGTGGTTGACGAGATCTTTTGTGACTTGGTGGTACTGCCGTAGCCCAGGTTTGTTTAGTACACATGTCGAAGTAGGGTTGCAAGTAGTGGGGTCTACTTATGTTTGGATCCTGTTTAGCTTGTTGTAACGTACAATGATCGAGTAATAACCAATATATGGACATTGGAACATCGCCTTCCGGTCACGTTATGAAGGATCTCTAATGTATCCTTTATTTATCCATTATCTAATAAATACTTCTGTGACTACCTTCTACACACTTAAACGGACACTAGCTGTATGGTCATGAAAATGTGCTTTCAGTACATTTAAGTACATTTATTGGTAAAACTATGTTTGAACCCTGTGGTTTAGCTGTTTTGCAGAACTTGGTAGGTTATTAAATAGCGCTTAATATTCCCAGTAAGCATTGATTTGGTGATTGATGTCTACTCGGGTTAAAGCTGGGATACATTTAGATGGAAAGAGAGATTATTTCAGTTGCATCACTATTTCTATAGCATTTAAATGAGTTATGTCACCATGAAGCGGGTCCTCACCACAAAATAAAATATCGTTGTTGCTTTTGAAACAACTGTCACAAAAACTATTTAACACAGACATCTTGTGACCTGCTAAACACCTAAACCAAGCTTTTCATGGAGAAACAAAATGGGCCAGCTGCACTTCCCTATAGTGCGTAGAAATAGTGGTGAAGGAGGCAGCTTTTCTACAAAATAAAACCTAATTCTTCATCGTCTTCCTCAGACTCGTACTCAGAAAGGAGGTTCCAGCAGCCGAGCCTCAGACGCCCGCCAGACTACGTCACGCTCCTCCTCGTCCACTTCCGGCAGAGCGGCGACTCCTTCCTCCTCCGCCTCGCCTCACTTAGCGTCTTCGTCCTCCTCTACCTCGACCGTGGCACCCTCTCCCAAACTCAACTCCCTGGCGGCCACCCACAAGCTGAAGAAAGACATTCACCGCTGCCACCGGATGTCCAGGCGCCCTCTGCCTCGCTCGGACCCCACGGCGGCGGCCTCCTTCTCCGGCTTCCCCTCCCGCCTGCACGTCTCGCCCTTCTCCGAGACCGTCCGCATCCTCAACCGCAGGGTCAAACCCCGGGAGGTCAAGAGAGGTCGGATCATCCTCAACCTGAAGGTCATTGACAAGCCGGGGAGAGGCGGCGCGTCTGCGGGCGGAAGGAATATTACGACGGGACGCCAGAACATCCCGTCTCGCAATCGCATCATCGGGAAGAAGGGAGGAGACGCTCCCTATAGACCTTTCCAGCCGCCTCTGAAGATGCTGGGCTTCCCCATGTACGGGACACCGTTTGGGCTTCAGTGTGGAGGCCCCGTGTCCAGCACAGGGGCCAGGAACACCGACTCTACTCCCTCCTCCCAGTGCCGCTCGCCTCCGTCTCCTTCCAGCTCCACCCACTCTGTAAGAAAGTCCAACACCACCGCCTCAGCTGCTGCTCAGTCCTCACCTTCCGGCGAGGCCGCCAAGTCCAGTGGACCTCCCACAGAGACCCAGAAGAGCCAGAGCGCCAAGCCAGCTGCTACTTCTCCGTCCTCACCATCATCTTCCTTGGAGGAGGACGACGACAGTCGGACGACCCAAGAGGGAGGCAGGAAAAGTCCTCGCCAACGCGGGGCTAAACGTCAGCTGCCCGCCGCCGCCTCCGTTTCCACCGGAGACCAGAGCTCCGCCCCCTCCGAACCACAAAAGGTGCCCGCCGAGGGAGACCCCAACTGGCACCCTGAAATGGCACCGAGCTGCAAGGACGTGGTGGTCACCGACGTCACCACCAACCTCGTCACCGTCACCATAAAAGAGTTCCCCTCCCCCGCCTCCCCCTCGTCTGCTCTTGGCCCCGAAAACGCCCCCTCCCCTCCCCCCGACGCCACCACCTCCGACGAACCCCCCCCTCCTCCCACCAAGCCATAGGAGAACCAGACGTCATGAAGTCGATGATCTCCGTTTGATGATGGAAGTAAATATCGCGCCAGTGTTGCCACTTCAGCCCTCTGAAGGTGTGTCCATGTTTGTGTAGCGGCGTCGTCTACTATTCAGCCATTGAAGAGGGGAATAAAGAACGTTTTCTTTTTTTAAAGAAGTTGTATACATTTGAAAGCGGGCAGCTAATACGCCCTTAAATTGCCATATTTTGTCCACTTGCACAGGCTGTTGTTGACCTTCAGGTGTTCTGCCATTTTCCTGCCCCCCCCCCCCCTCCCCCCCTCTAGTATCATTGGAGGTCCAGCTTGTTAAAGATATAAGAGGTGATGTGTTTTTGCACTTAACACAGTTGGACTCCTATGTTGCATCAATACAGCGAGGTAAATGCACGTGACTGCATCGAAGAAAAACGACTTATTTTATGTTCATCAGTTGGTTTTTTTCAAGGCCTTTTATCCTCTTGACTACATATACGTACAGTATGAGTAAGTATTTATATGCACGCACAACCTTTATAAGCTGCAGAAGAAAATACGTAAACAATAGTTTTCACGTCTTTGTTGTGCTTAACGTCTTTCTCTCCGCTGCTTGCTCTGTTTTTCCTCACAAACCCGACGCCTTCTTTAATCTGTCGCGTCCAACAAGACGTCTAGAAGGTCTGTCAGCTGAACTCAGATCAGACTGAAGCCACAAACCAAATGCAGCTAATGAAAACAGTGTGTTGGAGCTTTGAGCTCGCTATCCAGATGATGGACTTGATTAGTTTGTCTCTTTACCGTCCACGTAGAGCAAAACGGATTCACTTCCTGGTTAGTTCCTTTACAGGTTTCTGGTCAGTTTAGCTTCAATAGCATGTAGCATGGTTCAGCCCACAGAGCAAGAGGAACTGAGCCAGGACAAATGTTGGTTAATAGTGGTGTAACGGACCGTAGTTGATCCGTACTGACCCCCCTCACAGTTCTATGTTAACCATCAGAGTGTAGATAAAGTTTTACTGACTCAGTAGAACATGTTTCTAGTCTCTGATCATGTTTCATTGTAAACAACCAATCAGTGTTTAAAGCAACAGGAGGAGAGCTAGTAACGTCAGCAGCACCGCTAACGGCTAACCAACAGGAGGAGAGCTAGTAACGTT